AACAATGGAAGAACAACAATTCAAATTCAAGATAAAAATAGTGTCTTAAAATAAAATATAACATGTAGTAACAAAAAAATAAATTCACATTAAAATAAAAATAAAAACATCAATCTGAATGGTATTAATAGTTTAAGTAAAAGGTCAACATAAGGTTTATGTGACAAGGGTCACACCATGGCACCTACAGTCAAAAGGCACATTAAGAGCCTATAGAGCATCAATTTGATCGCATTGTCAAATTAAAGTTGTCCAAAAGCTTGTGTAAATGTGTTACGGTCTGATGAGATCCAAGAAGAATTTTTGACTGTAATTGCAAAAGCCCCCCAGGAGAGGCCAGAACCCTTTAGGGCAGGCTCAAAATGAGGAAAAAAAGCAGTGTCATGTCAGAGCAAGAGCCACAAAGTTTAGGGAAACTGCTTAAGTTTAAAACAGGAAAACAATCAGCGGCAGTCTTGGGAAACAACCATGAAGCACAACGACCATTACATTTACTTGTAGTGCCAGAAGAGAACAGCACAGAACTGGGCGCCAAGCAACAGTGCTGCTTTCAGAATAAAAAACCTGGAGATACATAGTTGTGTTTTCATAGAAAATGAAATGGAAACTTTATTCATTGTATGATTTGAAAACTCATATATTTTATAACCTGTAATGTTAATTTGCAATGATTTGTGTTTATGTATCTGTACATGCTTGTGTCGAAAGGTGTAGCTTAAACCAGAACTTTTTTGGGGTTATTTTTCAAAGGCTGTAAAGAACTTTTGTCCGACTCCTAAAAAATATTCTTAACTGCTTTTGGTGGCTTTCAATTAAAATCTTCCTACAATTTTTAATCATTTAAAGAATATGCATATGCTGCATATGTTACTTACTCTGAGAAATACATTTTCTGCAAAAGAAGCTGGGTTGTCCACTTCAGTGAATGCCGGTGGTCCCGTTCCCATGATCCTCCAACGTGCATAAAGCATTGAGAGTCCTCCAAAACCCATGAGAGCCAATCGTATGAGCAGCCCTGGACGTAATATTTCACTCAGCTGTCAGAAAAGATACAGCGACACGTCAGGGACGCAAACCAATCCATGATTTTTTTAGACAAGTCTTCTTCCATCATTACTGTGTACAGACATCCATACTGCTTACCTACTTAAACATTACATACAGTGTGATATGTGATGTGACATTAATCATACAGGGTAGTGCATAATTTATGACAGAGAGGGGAGGGTCGGCGTTATTAACTGTAACTCACATCGGGTGGATTCTTCCTAAGAAGTAGCCTCCGGCTGAGTACATACACATTAACATTACAGATCAGGAGAACATCAAAGGCAGCGTTCACACCCTGAAGGGAAATACATGGAGAAGGGAGGGGGAAAAAATGAGTTTAAAATGTATATAGGTCAGCAATAAAGATGATCTTTGGCATCTGTCATACATGCAATACTACTATAATGGGATTAAAATCAATGTAATTAATTCAATTATCAAAATAATTAACATAGATCTCTGGTTTAGTTGGATTTAAAGAAATGACGAACTCACTAAGAAATGACTGTAGAGAAAAGAGAAACCATACCAAGACCGTGATGCCTTGTTCCTTGCAGAGCATCGCTGCAGCACACAGCAAGAGGCTGACCATGACCCACTGGACAGAAAACTTTTCACCTCTGTGACTCGCTGAAGACACAGAGCCAACATTCAGTGAATCAACTTGTTAGGGTGAAAATTGCTGGGCAACAATTAAAATCTAAAATTGAGATTAATTGCAGGATTTCAACAATTATTCAAGATTCATTGGTTGTTGTATCAATTTGTCGTCTCCTAGCACTAGCCATTCTTATTTACGGTATAATAATAATGATAATGATAATAATGATAATGTTTTTAACTGCTTCAATTTTACTCTAGCCTTCACTTAAACAAACAACTAGGATAAATTTGCGATAGCAAAGTGCAAAATGAAATTTGTAAAAATCAGTGATATGAAACATTTAATTTATTTAAACAGTGTTTTCTGAGGTACTTGGACAAAATATTTCTCAGCAGGTTAGTGTTAAACACAGATCAGATAGCGCCCACTCTTGTCAATTAATATTCAGAGATGATCCTTACCCACAACCACATTTACTTCTCTATCTTTAGTCTATATTTTACTGTTAAACCAGAAAACATCCAAACACTTTCTCATTTGAAAAGGCCAAATGAGAAAATACAAGCAGAGGGCATCATGACAGCAGATGAACACAGCTCTATACACATCTAGTAACCCATTTGAAATGAAATGACACAATTTATCTTTTGGCCCCACTGGATTTATCTTATTTTAAAATTAACAGTAGTATTCAGTTACCTACCTCTGTTAAAAGCTCTGCAGTAGGCAAGGAAAGACAGTTGGAAGAACAGAGCACATAAAAGATCTGCTCGCCCCACTATACCAGCCACCTTATTGACAATAGGATGAAAAAGAGAAAAAAAATGACATGTGACTGTTTAAATTCGCACATTAAACACATTATGTATTCATGATTGTGTTACAGATTTCACAGAATGTTCTGCATAGTGTAAGCAGTTAAAAATGGGCTCATGAAGACCGGCCTATTAAAATGGACAAGAAAGAATCACTCATTATCACCGCGGCTTGTTAGTATGTTTGTGTGCTCATGGTTCTATACAGTGTGTGAGTTCAGTATGGTTGGCATCCTGGGGTCGCTTGCTTTGATACATACAGCACATCTTATCCAATAGCCTGCCTTCCTCCCACCCCCCAGGTCTCACCCAGTCCTTGCCCGGCATGATTAAAGACAATGGAGAGGGGGATTTGCTGCCTTCCAGCCAGGCTTTACAGCTAACACACACGCCGGCAGGTCAATAAGCAAACCCAACACGGCTAATAGTGAGGACGCGCTACCATGTGTACCATAGCCCTGCACTCCCAGCTGAGACGGGACTTTTGTTCTTGGCATGGAACCAATGCATGTTTAGGATGAAAAACTCAGTACTGGTTTTTCAAGATGCCACAGTGCATTGTTTTACAAAATTCATGTTGTGAAGAAAAGTTTCTTCACAGCCCAAAACTGGAACTTTCATCTCTAAATAAAGAACAATAAAACTTTTACCTACCCTAGACAAAGTCCAAACATGGACAGACACTAATGTGACACAACTTCACCATGTAGCACTACTAGTGTAGTACATTACCAGAAGTAAGTTACAAGTCATTGAGTATATGTATTGTCAGTAATGGGTTTTTTCTTGATCTGGGTTGGTTGCTAAAACAAATGGAGTTAACAGAAAATCCATTTTGTGCAGGCACAGAGGCATTTAAAGTTAATAAACAGACACGTCTATGAAGATTCTCAGTCATTCAGGTCATGGGCAAGTTTAAAAGTTCTGTTAGGCAACTTTCCAGTTGCCTAACAGTCCAGTTGTCGAACAGAACTTTTAAACTTAATAAACTTTTAAACTTAAACTTTTAAACTTAATAAACGTTTAAACTTAATAAACAGACATGTTCAATTTCTTCTTCAAACACTTCAATGATGTGGTTGTCTACTCAGTGGATTTGTTTTGCAAACTTTGTTTTGAGACACAGAAAAAATGCTAGCCCCAATGAGCAACAACAATGTACATATAATATATTAATATATAATATATTTGACATCTAATGGAGAAAATCACTTTTTTACTATTGAGCATGTCTCTGTATAATATATCCCTAATAACAACCTCCCCAATCCCAACAACCTCGCCTCATTTCAATAGTTATGTAAAGTAATGGAGAAACTGATTACAAGTCAAAATCATTGATGAAACATATTAATGTTTGTACTTCATGTAATGCAGTGTAAACTGTAGGTTATTGAAAACACACTGCTCTCAGAGGAGGTTGCATTGCTTAATAGTGAATTCAATTTGGCAACAACCCACCTAATAATGAATGGAAACAAAAAAATAAATAACAGTGAATACATTCATCCAGTTTTGAACCTAATTCTGGAATTTTACACTTACACTTTCCGTGTGAACTGGGTGTGCAGCAAAAAAAAGGGCAGCGAGCAGAGACGTCTTGGGGGCACGGTTAATTATTCCACCCTTCTCATCATAGGCCAGTCCACCAATCAAAATAGCAAACACATCAATCATGAGTGCAGAGATGAGAGCATGGAGGATAATGTTCAACAAGTGAAAGCCAAACGGGTGTAGACCTCCTACTATGAGGTAGTTGAACCTGCAAAAAAAATCAGAAAGCGTTCTAATGATAATGTCAAATATACAGTGAAATTAAATAACTGTTATTGACCAGCTGATATGTATTCACTTGTGCTGTAATGTGACTACTTACCTGAAGGTTAGCACAGTTAAAGGCCGATAAGATTTGTGGCTTGAGTTGCTGCTCAAGTTGCTTCCCCAGAAGTCATTAGTCCAGATGTTGTTGATTGGTGTTGTTGGCCGCAAGTCCTGCAACAGAATTTGCAGTAATCACACTTACAATACAGACATAGAAGCAAGTTCAATCAATCAAGTTGCCTATCAAATTAAAACTTTTTTTTTTGGTAGAATATCAACATATTAACATGATTTTTTCCTGAAGAGGAAGTTGCTAAACTGTTTCATATAAATGAATAATCACTTATATATGTGGTTTGTTTTTCATTATTTTAAAACATCTGTCTATACTACTATAGCTATATACTATAAAAACCTAAAGTTTGTGCACAAATTAACAAGTCACTTTGAGATGCTCAAAGGCTGTATAATAATAGCAGGGCAGAAATTTGAGAAAAACTGTAACAAATCGATTGAGAAAATCCTTATCCCCCTAACATTACTGCAGTTGGACAGAATTGGTATGAAAAGAAGACCAATGGTCCAAGGACTTTTGTTAATTATTAATCTAAATTACCTTGTTGTTGACAATAGCTTCAGAGTCATCAAACACAAACTCCCCATCATAACTGTTAATGAAGCACAGGAGGGCCACCAGGGCAACTGTGACCTTGGCTTGGACTGGGGGCAGTTTTGGCAGAGGTATTTGATGATCCCAATAAACCTCAGACAACGTCATAGTGATCCTCACAGGCTTTGGTTATTCTGTATCACAGGGAAGGATACAGAGACAGGCAGGTATAGTCTATTACAGAATAGTATGGCTTGGGAGACATATTCTATATGCAAGAATACAACAACCTAAATAAATGAGGTTTGCATAACGCTTATAATCATACCGTATCTTTCCAGAGTCATGGTGAGAGGTCACCCTGTCGTCTGGGACTCCGATGTCTTGTAGCAAAGTTGCTTCAGAAAGCCGTTAAATAATAGATTGAGGCGAAAGAAAAATACTTGGTGCCAAGTGCCGCAATTGTGAACATTAAAGAGAGATTTTGGACAATTTACGACAATTATGATACGATTAGACGTGAACGATACATTGGAATTCGGCAAGCTATTACCCGGTAGCATTCGCGTGTTACATTAACAGATGTAAATCCTTTTAATGTACAACGCAATCAAACAGTTTACCGGAACTTTACGTGTCGCTAATTGGAGCAGCACATTTTATCATTGTTTTATGTAAACTGGGAACATTTTAATTTACATGGAGTAGGGATAAAGACGTGTATTCAGAGCAGCCATAGATGTACACAAACGTCCACGCGGACAACACTTCCTCTAGCTTATTCACGTGCTCACCTCAGCCAATAGGAGACAAGTGTCGTAAACCTAATAAGTGACGTTAGAGGCGGAAGAACGGGTATAGCAGGGGCGTCAAAACTATTTTTGCAGACGCAGGGAGCAGATATTAAAACAATAAATACCCGGAGGGTGAGTTGTTCCTTCAACTTTGTACAGGTTTACAAAAATCCCTTTGAGAAAAAAAGCAAACCGAATAGTAATCAGAGTAAATAATTTGCTTTGAATGCTGCTTGCCCTCAGCTGCACATAGTTCATATCCATATACACCTGTGACTTCTCTAATGTGAAATATTCAACAAAGCAGACTATCAGTGAGAAAGAACTGATAGAACATACAGTATACAAACTGGACACTACTTGTTTGGCAAAGGTTCCAGAATGCAAAAGCTGAAGGTTAAAAATTGTATTTCAACTGAGGACAATAGGTATTTCCCACACTGCTGGTAGAAACCAGTGAGCGTTTTTGTCAATTTGCAAAATTGACTTTGAATATGAGATGAAGGTAAATTGATTCTATGGTGCTCTCATGCAGTACTGAACTATTTCTTAACTGACTGGTTACAGCTGTACAATCTCCAGGGTGCGCTAAATACATTCATAATCCATGAGGTTTAATAAAACCAATGTAGTACTTTCCATGTACTGTGCCTCTTCTATTCATTCATTATTTATTTCATTCATCTTCTACTACTTAATCCATCTCAGTGTCGAAGGGGGCGGGAATCCGCAGTGGTCATTGGGCGAGGCTTAGCTACACACTGGACAGTTAACTTGTCAATCACAGGACCATACTCATATCGTACGTATGAGAAGTTTGGACCATCCAGTTCACCCTATCCCACAGTCCTCATGTTTTTGGCAGTCAGAATAACCCCCTGCCTCCACCCTTTCCCCCAAAAAACACACAATTTTTAATTTTAAAAAGATCCATAAATATTCTGAGAATCCTTAGTTCTACAGCAAGAAAAATAATTTGATGTCATTGTCACAAAAATAAGTTTGCTTCAGTTACATTTTCATTTTCGTTCATGTAGAAAGGTAGACAAAGTTAATCTTAACATTAATTCCATATGTCAGTCATGTTTCATGGCTGTTTTTCTTCCCCAAAAAGACATGGCAGAAGTGACTGAAGGGATGAGCATCCGCAAGAATTAGAGAGACTGATCTTGTGTAGAGGCCCATGGCAGACTTTGGGATTTTGTGCTCCATTTCACCTGTCATTGCTTCGGGAAGACAAGGAATCTTCTTAATGGCCAGAACCAGGGGCCCAGGGTGACAGGAGGGCGGGGGCAATTTTCAAGAGCACATTCTCAGACCTTCAGGTTGGTTAGAGAAGTAGATGCTTATTAATCAAGAAAGCACATATAATTAAGTCCAATCTTCAAAACACCATCTCCGGTAACTCAACTGTCAAGTGCCACTTTAATTTCCAGAACTCTATTTAGCCGAGCTTCAAGTTTTGAAGGTTTGGTGGGACACGGGCTGGGCAGAATGGAGGAAATAATAAGGGCTCATATGTACCGTACCAGTTTGGTCGAACTCCAAAGAGAGACAGACAACAATTAAGATTTTGTCAGGAAGTGTAAATGGTTTTTGTTGGTCAAGGGAACAGACACCGATGGTATAGAATCTCAGTGAATAGTGAAGGTTAGGGTCAATTGGTTTAGGCACTGAGAGCATTTTGTTCTCTACCAAATAAGTATAGAGTATATTAGTGTTAAAAATATACATTTATACTTTACAACATTTTAATATATATATTTTTTATTTATTGTGTTCATGTCTTACCTAATATGTCTTACTGGATTTGACAGGAAGGAAAGAAAATAGTCTGTGCTAGCTTTAGTAGCACACTTTAGGATAAAAATGTAATTTTCCCCTTCAAATAACACCCATACAATTATTGATTAGTGAAGATTCTATTGGTAAACAAAAATTTACAAAATATATAAAGAATTTGTTGAAGTTGTTAGTGTCAACAACAGTGGTGGCCAGTTGTAGACAACTTCTCTCATCATATGAGAACAGGTAGTTTGTTACATGTGACATGTTCTTAAAGGGGCAGTAACAACTCTAACACCAATCTGTCCTCTTTTTTTGTCCTGCAGTTTGTAACATTGGTTTATCTTCCTCTAAGAAGTGCGTCTTTTATTTAACAATCTTCCATTACACTTACACTGTAAAAGGTTCCTATTTTTGTATGGGTGCCAGGGTTGGAGCAGACAACTTCGGGATAAGGGAGACATAATTGACTGTAAAACAAGCTCTGACTCATCACTTGTCACATGGCCCTGAACTTCTTTGTTTGACTTCACACTGTAAGCTCTACCTTTTCTGATCAAAAGTTTCCTAATATCTCACTTTTCAAACTTTTCCTTAAAGACAGTATTGCATTGTTACATGTGCTTCATCTCCTTTAAAGTTTCTGGAAGCAGCTATTGATGTGCTGGCGCTGAACCACCTCCTTTTGAAATCTCACCCTCAAAGGTACTAAATCCAAATCTTTTCACAATTGAGCTGAGCCACGGGGACTTCATGGGGGGAAATCAAAGCCTGTTTCTAGCCCTTCCAAGGTCCTCATCAGAGCTGCTGATGTTCAAAACACTTCTAATGCTGCCTCTGCCAGCTTATACGTAAGTACTGCTAATTTGCTCCACTCTTGTCACTCACTAGTAGCAGATAATACTCAGCGCACACAAACTTACAAGCAGATTCGTGTCCAAAACTGACATTAAGCAAGGACCTTATTGTGTACACAGTGGTTCTTTGTGAAGCAGTGTTCCTTTCTGAGCTGTGGGTACTCAGTTTTCAGCAAAGACTTCTGGCTCTCCCTTTAATGGGTTTGAAAAAACAGTGTGAACTAAAGTTGTTAAATACATAAACCCATTCAAGCCGTGGAAGAAAAGGAAATATGTCTCATCACACATTAGCTTTGTGTGACTGTAACATAGGTGCAGGTGCAGACAGCAGAATTCACTGTAATTGTCATTTCCCATCAGTGTGAGGCCACGTTTTTGTCAGCATAGCTCAGCAAAACTTTCTTTAACCTTGAGGATGAACAGTAAATCACACATTCATAAACTGGGAATGAGAAACCAATCTATGGCTACAATGCCTGGTTATTTGCAAAGACTGCTTTCCACTAATAAAAAGGCAGAGAAACTTCTAAATCTGTTATCCATTTTTGAGAAATAATAATGAATGTTATGAATCAACATAAACGACAGACAGTTCATCTGACAGATGCAGCCAGTCGTCCACATGGGAAAAATCATCAAAGGCTCAATGTACAGAGGGATCCGTCCAACAACCCTACCCACGACTTCATATAGCCAAAGCCTTGTCTGGTAAAGGAATGACATCAGTACAGTCAAGTCCACTGAAGGTGAGCACATCTTCACTTTAATTAGGTGTGGGAGAGCTAACTGTAATTCCTTCCTTGTCAGAGTGCTGTGTATACCTGTATGACGAGAGAGCGCCTTCAGAGGATGATGATGGAGAATAGCTTGCATTAATGAGGGGAAACACAGCAGGCAGGAGCGAGGACACTATCACTTAAAAGGCCTAGATGACTGTTATTATCTGTCGCCTACAGAAAAAGAGGATGAGATGACACCTTCTAATAACGAAGCCTAAGTGCAAAGTAAGCAATTTCACAGTTAAACAAAGTCAATTTGCTCTTAAAAGATGTGCATTATCAAAAAGTACTGCTGAGTTCTGCTTGTGGGAAAAGAAGTTTTCAAAACTTCAGGTAAAAACGCCATTGATTGGTGAAGAATTCGGTTGTTAGTTTCCTTACAGTAAAAAAGATTAATCTGAATTTGTCAGGGTTCATCACTGTGTTTTCTTTAAAACATCAGTTTTCATGGTGGTCTACTGCAGTGATCAACTGGTAGCCCGCTGGCCTAATCTAACCTGGGACTAAATTCCAAAATAAAAAACAAAACATTACATTTTATTTGAGTGTCTGTCCAGATTCTGGCCCTCTGACAAATGTAATTCTAACTTAAGTGGATAAAAATATCCATCTGTTTATCTAGCCGTTGATGTTTTTAGCTGTTAGCACGTAAAAATGTTATTGTATATATAATCACAGAGCTGTGATGCGTGTATCTCAGGCAGGTAATACATTTAATCACAGCCCTTCTCTCTCTACATCTGAAATATTTTTTGTTTGTAGAAGCTGAATCTAACCAGTGTGTGTTTGTGTTTGTATAATGACGAAGGACCCATTTGTTCTCTACATGAGGCCAAAGCCGTGGTCGTCTTCTAAGGTAAAGGCATTTACATCAATATCAACACCCGGGGGCCCTGTGTCCATCACGGAGTCACTTTTGAGGACCTCTGCATGTGTCTTTTCTGACTCTCATATTTACATTTTGCTGTGATGGCAAAGATGCATGCATGCAATAAATGTAGTGACTGAAGTCACTCACAGAGAAGTTGTGGTTCTTGGACAAAAAAGTAACTTTAATACTTAGAGCTAATAATACCGGCTGTATCCTGGGATGTAAACTGTAAGATACAGTGGTTTTGATATAATCTAGAATTAATACATTTGTAATGTATCTTTTTATATTTTCTAATTTTCTTGTGACATTAAAACTTGCCTGATCAAACCTTTATATTGACAAAGGACATAATGTTCAAGACACAAAATATTTTGCACATTTATCATACGTGTCATACATATATAAATATATAATGCCAGCTAACGCAAAAAGTTTGAAGAATATTTTAAGCTACTGAATATTAAATAAGCCTTTGACTTTCAACAACTTTTCCCATTCTTCATATATTTTAAGTCCTGTCCTGTCCAATTCCATCAACTTTTTCCTATCCCTCCACAGGTGTCTGATCCCTGCGCTTCCAAAGTGATGGATCCATCATATCACATCACAGCTTGCAGTCAAAGAGTGGCAGCATGAAGGTATACTACCGTCCAAGCCTCCTGGGCACAGAGATGAGACGGAGACCGGAGACCATCTTCAAATAAGGGAAAACATTTTTTGGCGTGTGAGCCCTTCTGACTTCTGTGTACAGTGGTGAGGACCTGGATGTGGAGAATCCAGAGGCCAGAGGGGGTCTGGTAAAAAAAAAAAAAGAATGTGTTGTGTGAGATCTGGCAGTGGTTAAGCTGATTTGTTCTGTACCCCGGCCCCTGCTGTTGCCTTCTCCCTGGTGTTGCTCACAAAAGTGTTCCGCCAAAAACCCTCCTGTCACCATGACACCCCAGGCCTCAGGATGATTGACATCCTGTCACATTATCTTATGACGGCGCTGGTGGAGAGAGATTGCCGAGATATGATACTGGAAAGTGACTGGGGACTTAGATACACACACACATACACACACACACACCAAATCACATGTACTTTAGACATAGAGCCTAAAGACACTCCAAGGAGATCAGCACAAATCAGTTTGTAGGAATACTCCAGAGGATTCACAGAGAGACACATATGTTTTGCACCATGTGTACATCATGCTCCAGAGGTTGTTCTGTTTGAGGCAGCAGGGTGTATGGAACAGCCCACAGATTACTTTGTGGGCTGAACATCAGCTCATATGGCTGGGGGTAACAGCTCCAGGCTTTCTGCAGCATTCCCACACCCAAGAGATGCTGGGTGGTACCAGTGAAAGATGTTGGGTTCACACGTCAAAGAAAATCATTAAAGTTACCTAAAAATAGACGAGAGCCTCACAAAGACAGACACCGAGTTAACATGAGGCGAGGCTCTGTAAAAGCAGTTAAACTGACAGGGAATAAGAGAATTCTACAAAGTCCTGTTGATAAATATATATAATAACAGAGATGTACCTTTTAGAATTGGACTGAGAAAAGTGAAGGTGACATTTGTTTGACGAAACTCTTCACCTACATTTGTTGAAAGGAATTAATTTAAAGGCAAAGGCAACGGAAGGTGAGTCAAATCCAATTTGCCTCTTCAAGGGTAATTCTACCCCGCTGCTTTTTGGCAGTCACATATTGTAGGTGTAGGGTGGACTAATTCCTACTAAGGAGGAGGGTAAAGTGTAAGGGGAACTGGCTCAGTGTACCAGAAACACAATGAAAAATTAGGGGCTATAACACAAAACCCCAAATAGCTGAGCCAAGGGAGTGATAGCTTCATAACCAGAAAGTTATGAAGCATGTTAGCTATGCTAACAGCAACAGAAATGTATTGATGGTTTTGGAGACAAAATGATGATTCTTAAAGGATTATTCCTTGTTTTAAGGAAAGACTTGTCTAGAGTTAACCCTTGTATAGCCATCTCTGTCTACCAGACTTTGCTAAAGCTCGACTTTTTGCTCTTTTATCTCAGCTGGATTTATTGCTGGAATTAAATTATCTATTTCCTAGGACAGTAATGGCATCACTGGCACTGGTAAGTCAGTGTCAGTGCCGCTCCAACTTTTGATAAGAAGTATCAATCCAGTTCTAAAATGAATTGTGCCTATTCAGACAACAGCATTTGTCCAAAACATCCAGATCCAGATTGATGCTAACAGCCATGGAGGGAGGAATTTAAACCTGCAATCCTGTGATCAAAGGCCTGCCCCCTTTTACCACCAGATCGTGGGCTACCATTTGCATTCATTATACATTAATAAAAATGATTGATGATAAAAGTTTACTCTGTAAATCGACATTATTTCCATGAAATTAATTCATTAAAAAGGCATCATGATTCTTTTCTTTATCATAGTCATGTTGACCCTTCACCACCTGTAAAACCACAGCAGCTCCTTCCACAGGAACATGGGTATTTATATTTGCACTGCCTCCATCACTTGTCTGGATGGTGTCAGGTCAGCCTGATACAAAGTTCCCATTAGCATGAGGCCCACTTTCAGGGTTGTTTCTAACAAGGTGAAGACTATTCTTTCACAGTACTCCCCTGTCTACCCCCTTCCTCCATCCATCCCTTTATTTATTGCACTTCTTTCCCTTTCTCCCCCTCTCCCTGCTCTCCTTCTTCCCCTCTGGAGGTCTGCATTAAACATAAAGACACTGCATGGATGGGTGAGTCAACAAATTACTGCAGCCAATAAATGGGAAAATGATCTGGCCCTGCTTGTGCCACCATTTATTCTCTGGCTTTAATTTTACACTTTCTTTTCTGGGCTCCTCTCACCGTCGTCCCTCCCCTGTCCTTACTGTCCCCCCATTAGGTTATTGTCTTTGGCTCTTAAATAAACATGATCCTAGCCACAGCCTGTCCTTATTGCATTTAGATGGAGCATTGCTGCTCATGGTTGACTGCTTGTGTCCATCAACTGGGGGAGCCTGAGTTGCTCTAAAATCCGGGCTAATACACATGAAACTGCTGCAGCTGTTGGTCTAACCTTTGAGTGTCTCCTAAGGAGCACAGTGATATTTGCACTTAATAAAATTATGCCTACCAGGAGAATATGCCGCTGACATTTGCCATTTGTCAAGTTGAGGTGGCAGCAAGGCTTTATGGGTCATTAATGTTCAGGAGAAGAGTAAAGCCTGGAATTGTCAAGTATTATCCATGGAAACAACATGTTTTTTTTCCAATGTATTACTGTATGTACACAGTGGTTTTCACCACTGTACTAGGATAACGATTATTCTGTTTAATTTATCCTTTGCACAGTACAGGATAAATGTCATGTTATCGTCACTGTGAGGCAATGTCAAATATATTTATTTATCAGAAAGGTAATTTACTACTACTTTTTTAAAATTGTTTTTTAATTTTGCTGTATGCTGGTCAGCAAAGGTCCTCATTTAACAGGCACAATACTGCAAATACTACACTGCAATCAGAGGTCTTCTACAGGCAGCTTGGCCCTCCCTGTGGTCTGTGACGGTACTGCAGGGTGTGGTAAAGTTTTTGGTAGATTTTAAATTTTTCACATTTAAATTAAAAAACAACAATATTTGAACATGCGTAAAACTTGATTCGATGAATGTGAGGATCATTTGGATTTTTTGACGGAATGTTTTTTTTACCTAATGATTCCTGATTAGATAAAAATGTAGTTGGGCACTGATTGTGCAAGAAAATATTTTTTTCTTTTTCTTTTCTTTCTTTTTCATTTTAAAGCTACAATAACTCCTTACTCAACAGATGTTGTGGCAAACCCAGACTCAGCTAAAGTTAACTATGACAGTCCAGCTGTGGAGCCAATCAATTTCCCACCTAATCACATGGATCCTACTGGAGAAGATCTCAAAGAACAACATTTTGAGCTTAGCAACATCAAAATTAGCTGGCAGGCAGAAAGATCTGTCTCCAAACCTGGCAGTTGGAGTTCGTGTTGTATTTCTTCCAGCTGTAGTGAGTCAAAACAACATATAAGGCATTGTGAAAATGTCTGTTTTATAAGGTCAAAAGGAGCTTCTGTTTTCACGGGATAAAAACTAAAGAGCCAGAACATTAATAATACATTCTCTTCAGCAGACACACGGCCTGTATCACTTCCATTAATGTTCACCTTTTCTTTAACACACATTTTGTATTTTTATTTTTTACTGCTTTGACTTATAAGAAATGCATCAATCACTTTTCAGTCCATCTTTCTAGATGTGTATGTGAAGCGGCGACATAAACTGTAGGTCATTAACCCTGCTAAGCAGTTAGGCAGCTATAATGGCTGTAAGAGCTCCAGCTATGAATCACCTGACAGGAAAACTGTAGTAATTATGATGATAGTCAAACTGGAGAATACTTATATAGAAAATGTAGCTGCTAAGTGGTCTGAGCTTGTGTTTAAGTGCTGCAAGCTCTTTTGAGCACACACACACACACACGTGTGTGTATACATATGAATAAAGGTACACGTGTACATACTATATATATATATATTGTATGATTTTATGTTTTACATGTTTGGTCTATCTTCCATATCCAGCCAGGCTTCCATGCTGTAAGATGGAAAATTTAAACATTTAAGTAATACCAGAATACTACTGCAGCTAAGAACCATGGGTATAAACGCTTTCTGTAAAACGTAAAAAAAAAAAATCATTGTGTTGCTGTGATTACATGTGCTTGAAGTCTGCAAAACAAAACTGATGCCAGAAAAACTAAAAAAATAAAAATAAAAATAAAAACTGGACCAAATGTTTGTGTTATGTTTTTGTCTTAATGTAAACTCATTTGCTGTAAAGTTGTCACTTCAAATATTAATGTCACATTCTGAAATCAGATCTGAGCTGTCGTAAAAATCACAGTCTGGCAAAATGAGCATAACAAATAATCTGCCACATCACACGGTCCATGAAGGACACTGATTTCTGCTTTGATACCATTTGATGTTGGATTTCGTTTGTTTCTTCAGGAGGCTGGTGCACGTGCCAATTCTGTCCAGGCACATATGTTGGCACGAGTTTGAATTTTTGTTTAAATCCGCAGAATAGAGGGTGACAGCGGAGCAGGGGGTGGGAGGGAGGTAATATTTGGAAAAACACAAACAGCACTGACAACTGTGCTTTCTTTTGATGTGGTGATTGGCAATCTTCAAATGTGACCAAACAAAGAAGAGAGGGAGGGAAAGGGGGAGAGGGGGAGAAAAAAAAAGAAAAAGGAAAAAAAATTCAAGTTGTCACTTTGCACCTGAGTTGTCGCAAATGATCCCATTCTGCAGCCGGTGGGGGTTGCTGTCAGTCTGAAGCAGCAGCAGCAGCAGCAGCAGCAGCAGCAGCAGCATTTCCATGTTTTCATGTTTGTGTGTTTCCTGTCGTCTCTGTCTTTTGGGGCTTCTCTACATCCCCAGGTCTCGGGCTTGAACTGAGTTGGTAGAAGGTTACATCTGTTGGGAGAAGGTGAAAATGACATCTGTGTATTAGTTCCTTTTGTATGAACATTCAAGTTCTGCTGCATATGACACAGACGGAGTCCTGGAACTGGTCCTGTTCAGCTTGACCTCCTCTGAGCCTGCGGTGCTGTATTGCTATTTGTTTGTTTGTTGGGCCTGGACAGTAGGGGGATACCCCCACCCCCAAAAAAATACTCACACCAAAACAACAAATAACAAGACAGGCAGGGATGTACACAGTGTTTTCATTAGTTTGAATAAGAAAGGAAAGACAATCCTACAGTAAGTAGCTTTACCTCTCCATAATGTCACGTGAATTTTCAGCTCCTCTGCTCATGAACACAGTATTTTTGCACAATTTAATGTAAAAGCTGAGTAAAAAAAAAACAAAAAAAAGAACTAAATTATACGGTAAGGTTGCAGTTACATTACAGAAGCTTTAAGGTTGCGTGGCCCGTTGAAATGGAACAGTTTGAGCACAGCGCCCTCTGCAGGCAAGTGTCGCCCGCTGCTTATGAACGCGGTCAAGCTCACGGAGGTTTCCCATTGTTAACCTTTCACTGCAATTAGCAGCCTTTCTACTTTGATTGTTGGGTGATTGAATTGGTTCGATTTGCCACTCATATCATTATTTTGGCTGAAGATCAGACAAAAGCTCAGTCTGGCAGTAATTAAAGAAGGAAACGACCAGGTGTAGAACTGGGCTGCAGTGTGGGCCACGGTCAGATGAATGGGACTGATTAGACGTTCAGTCAAACTGTGGGTTTTTTATTCTGCCTAAAAGACAATGTGCAGCCGCTCACTCTGGGTTCGGAGTTCAGTGGGGAGTGGGGGTGGGGGCTGACTGCAGCTGAGAATCACTTCCTGTGTTAGTCATACTGTTCATACAGTGACTTTTGAATTACTATTCATTCATTCTGATTTTACTACGCAGCACTTTGATCAATTATCTATTTAATTTGTGCATTTTTTTTATTTAGTAATGTGCTGATTTACTGGCAATATTCTGGTTAATATGGCAAAATTAACTAAATATTTTATTTAACTTTTTTAACTTTAATGTGAATCAAATATTGATTCTATGGCATTTTATTAAGAAGTAATAAACCTACATTTCCCAAAATTTCAAAAGTCAAGAAATTATATAATTTTGTGCTAAATATACTCCAAAATGTTTCTCAACATTGTTTGAATATGCAAAAATACATTTTCAGTAATTAAATTCCTAAATGTGGGCTACATTCTGTGAAAGCTATAGTCCAAGAGCCACGGCTGGACAAAACACTGGACCACCTGGTTTAAACTCATCAGAACTCCAACAGTCGACTGGATCATTTGGTAAAACAAAAACATAACACATAAATCACAAAGCATTTCTGACTGAGCTGTGTTGAAAGTGGAGGTCAGGTCAAGGTCAGAGCCAGTGGAGTCAGTGGACGAATGCCAGCAAACTGAGTGGAAAATAATAAGACTTTCATTTTCCCTTAACTAACTCAGAAATGGATTTTAATCAACACATTATGCCAGTTGTTAATTGCTTTTGCTGCCTGCTGCTAAAATAATTTGCTACTTTTTTTTTATTATTGTTGTAGTAGTAGCCATCTGTTTCAAAACACAGGAACAGGATCAGGCCTAGACCTGGGGTGGATGTTGACATGATGTACAGGCAGCTCATTTGCACTGCCACCACCTTATTTATGAGGCTGAGAGAGTGCTGAGGGGACGATATGAGCAAAGGGAAGAGGCTGCAGTTTTAGGGAGGAAAATAAAATTAATTTATATTCAAATACAACTAGATTATCATGTATCTTTTAACACAGAAGTCTCTGTTATCTCGGCTGCAGAATATACACACTATAGTTGTTTAAAAGAACACTAAAACACAGAAAACTAAAATTCAGATAAAGAGAAAAAACAAGTATTAAAGGATGAAAAGTAAATCTGGCCAATTGGATATTTTTATTTATGTTTCTCAGGGTGTGCGTGCGTCACATTCGCACACGTCCTCTATCTGGAATGTGCTCCTAGTTGAGGGCATAAAGGATCCATCTCTAAGTATTTTCAATGGGACGCAACGTCTGATGCCAGGTGAAGGCCACATCTCGCCAGGAGGGTGGTAGCGCCACCATCAGAGCCATCATGTTACTTTAATTACAGGTAATCTTGACTCTCGGGCACTTTTTTCCACTCCCTCTGCTCTTAGGAACTTCCTCCTCAATTACCAAAGTGGCTCAATTAGTCCCCCAAATAAGGAGTGGACATGCATAGGACAGAGACGGGCAAATTACGACAGAGGCTAAGAACAACAGGCGCCGTAATGCCCAGTGTGACGGAGAGGCAATTAAAAGACAGAAAGTGTTCTACCACACGGGGCGAAAATGAGGAAAAGGGAGAAAAAAAGCTTCTTTTGACGAGCGAGTTTGGAGCTAAGTGGAGCTTAAGAGGGAACGACTGAGGAGAAGAAAGAGCGAAAGGGAGATAAATTAAAGGCATTTGATTGGCAAGAGGGGCTGAAGTCACACTGTTTCCCAACAGGACCATATGTCGGAGGGCCACTCAGTCATCAGAGGCTCGACTGTGTGAGTACGTAAGTTGTGATTTCTATAGAGCAGAGTACGAGTCCTACCAGCAACTCATTCTCTGTCCTCTCTCTCTCTCCGTTTCCCTCAGTCATTATCCAGACAACCTCACATTCACTGCATCAGCAACACAACAGGGAAACTTACTGGGCTTTTGACTAGGACTAATGATGACCTTGTCTTTTTGATGGACCAGTTTTGTGTCCTTGTTAGGACTAAATGCTTCATCTCTACAGCCAATATAAGAAACACATCGTCTGCATACAAAGAGATACAATAAGATACAAAAAAAAAAAAAAAAATACACATGCAAACTGACCGGGGCATTTTGTTCATTAAATGATTAAATGAGAGAAGATGAGTAAATACAGTAAATTAATAGAGTCCAGTTATTGTCATCAGGCGTAACTACAAGCAGTTTAAAAGCCAGTAAAGCTAAATGTAAATAACTGAAGCTAAAAATAACGCTACTTTCTCATCCCCATAGCTAGAATATATACATATATATATATACATATATATATATACACACACATATATATATACATATATATATATATATATATATATATATATATATATATATATATATATATAGACACACACAGCATCTTTAGGAAAGCTGTCACGGACCATGTCTAAGTATCATTAGTATTTCCTCAGCTCATCCACATCCACATTGGACTGTGGAAAGTGGAAAAAGTAAGGGAGACCAACGTGAGCAGCGATAAGTGAGGGAGGAGGAGGAGGAAGGATGGGAATATACATTTATATATGTGTGACGCATGGGATATTAGACGTGACTTTAGATTTTATTTTTCACTGACAAAAGAAACAGAACAAAGTGTGGACAATAGAGAAGGTGAACTATACCAGAAGAGCTGAGCATGTTACCACTAGAGGCCAGTGTTGTTCGGAGGTGTACGTGTAAGTGAAATTCTTGTCATTGTGACAGCTCACCACTGCACACAACCAAATGTGACCTCTGCTTTTAACCCATCACCAAAGTGAACAGTGGGCAGCGTTCAGCACCTGTGGAGCAGTGTGTGGGGACGGTGCCATGCTCAGAGCTGGTGGACTCGAACCTGAAAGTTTCCAGACCCAAGTCTGCTTCCTTAACCACCAAGCCACAACGGCCCAGCGTAGGCGACCGTTAATCTCATAGACATTTATACTTGGCCAGCTCTACTCTGGAAACCTGGAACCTGGAAAGAAAAGCACATGAACTCCCCCTTTATTCAGCTCATATATGCCTGAGTAATTCAGACTTAATTTGATAATTTAATACTTCATAAAGCTTATAAATTACATTTATAAAACACTTCATTCATACTTCACACAGATAGGTTTTTTTTACCTTTGTAATTACATTCACAGTCATAGATCTAAATGTTTGCTCTGTCACTCTGTTCTACTGAAAAGAACAAGAATCCTGGAACACAGTCACTGTGGATAAGGACAGAAAGTAACGGACGAATGCTGAGGACCAGAGGAGATGGGGACGAAGACAGAGATGAAGACAACGTAACCATACATAACGTCACTAGTATTTGTAGCAGCAGAAGAACATTTAGGAGGTTCAGAACGATGAAGACGTTGGAAAAGCTGAAGAGTAAAAACAGACACAGAAGCAGTTTTCTTGGGTCTTGGTCCTCTCTGATCCACATCTGCTGTAACAATAACTACTGTGCCTGCATAGAAAACCCCAGCAAAGTTACAAAGGGGAAAAAAATCACAGAGAAACTGGACACCTGTCTCAGAGGTATCGTTGTCACCGCGAGTCAGAAAGGACAGCAGTGATAAATGTCTCACAAATAGTCACAGAAAAATAGAAATACTTTTTGTTTTTTACATGTGGAGAGCAGAAATGACAGCAAAACAGTCAGTGAGTCTTTGAAACCTGGCGATATGACCTGAATGTATAGCAGGAGGCACTGCAGCTCAGGTCTAGATGTCAATCAGGTCGTCACCGCTCTCGTCACTCTCCACGGTCAGCTGACGAGTCCACCACTTCTTCACCTCTGAGCCTGAAGACGCCTCGTCGTTCACAGGGTTCATCTTGCACACAATAGACTTGACGCTGGTGCGACCTGACAAAAAACACACGGTACACAATAAAAGATTATCTCAGTATCTTCTTTTACTGGTTCATACTGCTGAATAATCTAACTGTTCCTTTATTAAATGTGTTATTAAAGGGGAAATTTGAAATTATAGCTAGAATTTATATTTATAAGATATTTGTATTTTTCTATTTACTTGTAACTAAGAGTTCTCTGAGGATTTGACATCAGTTGTTTAGGTAATGGTGAATTTTCACTAAATCAATACTTAAAACATCAAATTTGTATCGATAAATCTTTAAAATAAATAATTTTTAGAGTTAGAATTTGAAATAAAAGTATTTTCAGATTAAATTTAACCTTCAGGCAGAAAACAAAAGCCCAAGGACTAAGTTCTGAATCATGTGAATGTTTTTCAGAATTCAGAATTCACAGAATTTTAACTTGAACAGAAAAAACATCTCGGATTTCACAGGTAGAACTTTTGGATTCTGACCTTAGGAAATAACACTCTGGTCTTGGACTACAGTTCTTAGTGTAATGTACGCCAAATCTAAAACACTTTAATGGTAGAAATGTAATACTAGAAAGATGTGTTTTTTTCCATTTTTTGAATAATAAATGCTGTAATCTACATAATAGCTGCACTGTTTGTTATCACACAACAAACTGCACACGTGTTTCTGAGGTGTCGAAAAGAGAGAGAGAGAGAGAGAGAGGGAGTGTTTTGGACTGTGTGTGTGTGTGTGTTTGTATATATGTACACACACTCTGGAGGAAATCTTTTGTAGTGACTCTCTTTGAAAGGAAGCAGCTCTGACGACAGCGACTTCACACACGGTAAACACTTGCGCGTACACACCTGCAGGAAGCCTCCACTGTCCCAGCTTCCTCTGTGGTCTCCCCAGGTCTGAGGAGTCCTGCCTGTAGCCTCCTCTGTCTGACAACGTGGGGCTCCGTAACTGCTGGAGACCACTCATCTACACAGAGAGGGGAGATTGTCTTTGTTACACCGTGCCAACGCTCACCTGCAGATTATACGATCTCCCCGCTGTACATCAAGCTGTGCGTGAGTGGGAGTGTGTATGCAGCACGTGCGGGGTGTTTACCTCAGGCTGCGAGGGGTTGTCCGGGTTGTTAGTGTTGTGGTCTTCGCTCGGCACGGTGGTCTCAATGCTGGGGGGGTTAAGGAAGCGGCTCAGCTCCTGCTGCTGACTTTCTCTCAAGCTGTGGATGATGCTGCACGACTGCTGCTGCTTCTGCAAAGAACCACGTGAGGCCCGAGTGGTCAGCGTCTCATGAGAGAATGTGTGTGTGTGTGTGTGTGTGTGAAGAGGCAGAAAGCGTCAGATTAAAACATCTACTGAAGACTCACCGCCCGGATGCGTTTGAGGCACTTCTTAAGCCACATGCGGATGGTCTGTTTGGCAACCTCTTCTTCAATGGTGTACTCCAGCTGTTCCCGGGCCAACAGCTCCTCCAGCTGGAGAGACTTTCTAATGTCCACTGAGCGATACGACAACATGCTGCATGATGACAAACACGCACGAAGACAGAAAACATGAAAAACAAGGACAAATATGTTTTTACAATAACTTAATATATTTCCAGTTTTAGTATATGTTTATAAACACATAAAAACAATGTCTATGATATGTTAATACATTTTGAAATTTTCTCTGGCCAGTGTTACCCCGTCATCTCTTTGAAAGGCCAAAAACAGCAAGGGTTAGGGTTAATATGTTTTTCTTTTATGCCCAATAATGTCAAATAACCAGGTAAACCACTAACTACCTCCAAGAATGGGACTGAAGGATCTTTTAACTCCAGGCCAATCCCGTAAATGTATATATTCATGTCTTTTCAGTTGGTTTACCAGTTGTAAACAGATTCAAAATAATTGATTGTTTAACGTGACATAATGCCCTCACCTAAGAACATCATGGAAAGTCACATCTCCTCCGTTGTGCAGCCGCTCCATCTCGTAGCACATGTGCTTGAACAGCAGTTTGTCTTTGTCCAAGTCGACCTCAAGCCGTCCTCGGAGCAGACGGAGCAGGAACTTCACCCTGGATGTCGGAATCACGCCCTGGAGGAAATAATATTTTAACTGAAAAGTTCCTGCGTATATATTCTCCTACATTTTGGTTACATTTCCAGCATTTATCTAACTTTTCATCTAGTTCTAGAGTTGAAAAACAGCATTTTTTTTCACTGAGGTTATGGTATTAAAATATTGGTGGTTATAATGGTGAAAATGAGTTTCCATATATATATGTGCGTTATATTGCCTCTCAGTTAGTTACTTGTTATATATAGTTATAATTGCACATGGTTACGAAATGAACCAAAAGCCTATATCTAAAGAGCAGCATGGGTGAACCGGAGGAGGTCTACTGCCCTAATTACCTTCTCTCCTATTATTCATTGCCACATTCTGTTCCCTTAAGCCCTTCTCATTAGGTCCAGATCTCTATAATATCCTTTGCTCACAGCCATGTGATCGTCATCAACACGTCCCCTCTGCTGTGTCCCTATTCTCTTTTCCTATGGCGAATCTCTCACCTCTCGTTTGTCATCCACCATGTTCCAGATGATCTGGAAGTGCCTGAGGTCGTTATAGCTCAGTAGCTGGTCCTCCTCCGTGGAGTAGAACAAGGAGAAGTTCTCCACAATGATGGCTACAAGGATGGGAAGAGAGATTAATAACTTAATTAGGGCGACTGTATATGACACCGTATGTCAACAGAAGTGAAATGTGAGCTGCAGCAAAACAAAGTTGAAAAATGCATGACTCTGCCCAATAGGATCAACAGAAAATACTCCATATGAAATGTTTTTCTTTTTTGTTTTTATCCTTGACATAATCTACAGACTACAGCCATGTTAAGTTACAGGATCTTTACTTCTTAATGGATGGATAACCAGGATGACTTTGAATCCATACCTTTGTGACTTAATCTCATAGAGTTATGACTTGTTCTCATTGTGTAACTCTGTGGAAGTTTGATCACAGTTGCAGCATTAACAGAATTTCCTCACCTTACTCTGACTTAACTGGGCTAGACTTGTTTGGCTCAAATATTTACTGTTTTGCAAAATGGACAGACTCAGCACTGTGAGTCCCCCTGCAATGTGGCACACTTACCTACAAGTAGGTTGAGCATGATGTAGGCAATGATGACGTAGAAGGAGCAGAAGTAAATAAGAGCTCCAGCGTAGTTTCCACAGTCAGTCTCCCAGTAGCGGTGTTTGTCTGGGGTACAGAATGGAGGCTGCACCTGAGAGAGTTAGAAAAAAGACATTAGCAGAGAGTCAATGAAACGTGACTTTATAATACATTTTGGATTTACATTAATACGAAAACATTATTATTTATATGTAAATACCCATGAATTAGGACAAAGAAGTGTGTGAAATGATTTGGAGTAAAGAAGCAGCTGTAAATCCATTCTCCTCCATTGTATTCTACAGACCCAGATAATTTAAGTGTAAATTTTCCCACTTGGATTGTCCCATTTTCTGGCTACAACATTCATCTTTTCCATCTTACCATGCAATCGTGCATGATTTTATTCCAATCTTCCCCTGTCACGATTCTGAAGAGCACAGTGATGGCTTTACCTGCTGTGGAGAAGTTTGCATGTCTGTGGAAGCAAAAACACGAGCAGAAAAAAAAAATCACACATAACACAGAAGATGACGTTCCATCGTGGGCTGCTTCACACGGCCCACAGAGAACTCATCCACAAACACAGAAGTATTTAGGAATACAGTTCTTAAGTTACCGGTTGATGTTCTCCCCATATTTGACAGTTCCAAACAGAACAACTCCTGCAAAGGCGTAGCAGAGGAGGAGAAGAAACATGCCCACGATGATGAAGAAGCTCTTGTACATGCTGACCACCACAGTCAGCAACAGCATTTTCAACGTCACCTGCATTGGAAGCATAGAACAAGCAAACAAGAAAGCAGATTTTAATAGGACGCAGTGATTGCTTGAGCTGGACGGTCTGAAAATATGTATTTACTGTTAATAACATAAATTGTGAAAAGGTTAGAGTTAAAAACTAACACTAACTGTGTTAGTCCACTAGGTGGCAGCACATAGCTTCTAAAAAGCATCTGAACTGTTAAAAAAGATTTTCATGCGTCAAGTCATATGTGACGCCATATACTGTATATATCACAATATAACAAACTCTAATCCATGAATCTTAGTTTCAATTGAAAGAAACATAAACCCTCAATGCAAAGATCACATGGAAATGATTGGTGAAGTATGGAAGTATTTCAAGCATGTACTACATATGAACACTTAAGTACACAGGTACTTCATTATTTTTAATCCACAAAACACACTCACGTGCTTCCCACATATTGTGAAGAATCTGAAGACGATGACACACGTGCCCATCATGTAGGTGTATGCATTCTAGGAGGAAACAACAGGAGGAGTTGGCTGAATGTGAATTTCATTAATGTGCTCTACAGGGAGATTTTTCTTTTTCTAACCAGGAGTGAAAAGTGCAGAACTATCCAGATGACACCCAGAGATGTGACCAGCAGGTCATAGCGATTGCGTCTGCTCTGCCAGTAACCAGCCGGAGACATGGCTATCAGCTTCATGGTCACCTTACGGCATCAAGACATCAACATAAGACAATTCCATTTACATGCTCGGAGGAAACTATTTAATTTAATTACAAAAGATGTAAACGAGCAGACGAGACGATGGGCTCACCTCCAGTACAAATATGAAGGTGAAGACGACTGACATGGTGGCCAGAGGAAACGTCACTTGATCGTCTACGTCCCACTGGAGAACGAAGGCAGATGTTTGAAAGGAAGAATTAAGTCTCTTCAAAGGAATGTATGCTCAGGGATAGGAAAATCAGAGTTTACCTTCACTGACAGCAGCACTGACTGAGCCAGAACCAGAACAGCGATGCCCCGTTTGAAGAAGGGATGCTGAGTGATGTCGTACATCTTGGCTCTAAAGCCACCGTTCTCTGTCAGTCAGATGAGAAATAAATGTTAATAATGAAGTATGTAGTTGACAAAATACTTGAATAAATTAGAAATAGCTTGACAGTTCGTGAAACAACATGTAAATGTGATCAATGAAAGTTGCCTTTTACAAACCGATTGCCACATTAAAATGGCTGGAAGATGTATGAATAAAAATTATGTAGTATCGCTTAAAGTCCACTAGATGGCATTCACTGCTTTACTGTAACACGCATCTCAAGGAGCTGCACGTGTAGAATCTTCCTAAACCAATGTAACATCAGAACTGAAATATTTATTTTATTCATTTTTACATTGAATAAAATATTCATTCAATGTAAAATTCATTCATTTTTACATTTTGGTTCATTTTTACATATGACATTCATATTGTAGTTAGTTATCACCAGTAATCAAACCAGTAACCCTTTTGCTGTAAGGCGAGAGCACTACACACTGCTGAAATAGGACTAGCTGTAATTTTATAGCTTTGTTTATTTTATATAATATAAAAACCTCACTTTATGCCGATAGTCAAATATCAAAGACAGTGGTGAAACAGTTTCCTATCGAATTAGTTATCAATGAGACTAGTCTAAATAGTGACTTTAGTTAACTGTACTGGAGCTACAGATTAGTGGTCATTAGGCAGTGTTTCCAGTGTAGGGTGCTGTTATCACATTGTCCATTGAGTCACTTTTTATAAGATCTTCTGGGTTCTATCAGCCACAGCTATGATGATAATGATGCGTTAGCGCTGACTGATGCCAGCCCTGTGGGCCTTTGGATGTGGATCAAAGTCAGGTTAATACGTGGAGGAGACCACAGCTCTGCTGACTAAACCACCAAAGACATTGATTTTCTGTTAGTTCTCAGCCTCCGCTCTGTCAACAGGTGATTTCCCACACAGTCTCCCAACCAATCACATGACTCTGGGCACAAACTGAAGAGCAATAGTGAATGGGTTCAGTGGAACCATGGTGATTTGTTGAGCTTTGAGTTGGTGGTAACTGTGAAAAACTAATAAAAAAATAAAAAAGATACCACTGGGACTGAATGATGGCAACTGATGACATTCCTTATTTTAAATCCTCAAAATAATAACATTACAATACTGCAAATGTTTTTTCCTTCTTCTTGCTTCATGTTTGTTTTTATGCTAATTTGTTGGTTCTGTCTTTACATCAATAATAACCCTGGGGAAATTAACTTCAATGTAATGACCTGGTGTATGTGCCTTTGTAATGAGCAACACCTGGTCCTCAAACTCTGAGTTGGTTCAGAGTAGATGCAACTTTGTATTTTAATAAATGAAGCTGTTTCAATTCTGTCTGTGAAAAAAAGAGCAGGAAACTGGGACAGGTAATTACTGCCAGGGCTTTTTTTTTACTTAATTATCTTCATTTTCACGTTTTGTTGCTTGCAGCCATCACTTGGATGCCATGAATAATCATCCAAACAAGGTCTTCATTTAGAATTCTTTTCACAGGAGCTGCTTGTTTATGCACTGCCATGAGCGCCACACGATCAATCAAGACTCGGGGAGAGACGTGATGATTGTCTGAACAGTGATCTTTTAAAGAATTTTCTGTCTGTGTGATTTTTGTAAATGTTGTGTCAGTACCTGGGCGAGGCGGCAGGTGAAGAGGCTGAGCTATTTTCAGCCGACTCTTCAGATCCTCCCATCTTCTCTGGTCCACTGTGAGCAGAGCAGTGCCCTAGTGGTGGGATAAACATTATCATCATCATCATCATCGTCATCATCATCATCATCATCATCTATAACCCAGATGTTTGAGCCGGTTGTCTCTGGTGAACACCACTGACTTTTTCTGTTTGAGATGAGTGATTCCTACCTTATTCTCATTAAAGTTGGCAATGACCACTCCAACGAACAGAGTGAGTCCAATCATGCATCCCAGAAACACAAAGACATGAATATAGATGCCATGTATCTGTGACCACAAGAGTTTAGTTTGAGAAAAGTAAACAAAAATATATTCTTTAATTTTTTTAAGAAGAATTAAAAAGGTAAGATCTGAAACAGTACCGGTCCGACGCGGTGAATAATAACGTCTCGGACTTCCACCCAGCCTTTGAGTGACAACACTTCAAACAGCGCCAACATGGCATTTCCCACATTGTCAAAGTTGAAATTTCGAGGGTTGGCCCTGGAGCAGAAGCAAAAAAACACAAAATCAAAAACACATTTTTGATATTCGTCATCAATATTGGTTTAAACACCAAGAAAAATGTAAAACAAAAAACATCACCGTACCAGACTCTCGGAACCCAGAAACCTGGTTTCTTCTCCCCAGGCCTCAGTTTTAGGTTGAGGTTTTTGGAAACACTGACATTTATTCTGAAGATACCATGACAGTCTTCCTGTAACCAAACAGACAGGTATGAAACAGGAAACAGCCTTAATACATGAAAAACTCTGGAGTAATGTACACACTGTAAATAATATTCATGCCAACTGTAATATTAAAAAACTTACTTCTAAAGTAGAAGACTACTGTTACATAAGTAGGGCATTGACAGAAAAACAGATTTATCAACCAATTTATCAACTGCTTCATAAAAGCGATTGTGGCAACTTTATTCTGCCAAGCCACTCATCATTGGTACTCGGAAAAACCACTAAAGCAGCTTCATGATCAGAGGATCACAGTGCAGTCAGTCCTGGAAGACAAAACTGTCAAAAAGCCGAGGATAAAAAAGCGACTTCAGATGCAAACATCCGACTGAGAGCTGATAGGAAAACTGAGTGTTTTGTTCCATTAGGGAAAACTATGAAAGTGATATGTGGAGGGTTACGTGCTCATTGTTGGACGTATGAGTCTGTGGAGTTTCACCACTGACAATGTGATGATGTCATTCAAGGACTTGAAGATCTGAAGTCGTAAAAGTCCTACTGGTAAGTAAGAAGGGTAAACACTGCACTGATATTGATTGATTTAACTGATGAAAACCCCCTTCAACCTCTCCACCTTGTGACCTAATTAGGGAGTGTAGTGTGTAGGCAGAGGGGGAGGTGGAGGAAGAGGAAGAGGCTCTCTATTAGTGAGGAGATTATGTTTCTTGTGTTGTACCCGTTTAAGGATGTGGGGGTCGTTGCACTTTGCCAGTTTTCCGGCAAACAGTTGAACCCCGAAGCTCGCAAAGACCAGCATCAGTGTGAGAAGCAGGATGGAAACCTGCAGAAAGAAACATCAAGAGTTAAAAGACTGCAGATTTAAACTAATCCTCGTCTGAGAAAGGGATAAAAGAGAGCTGAGGATGTCAGAGGCTGGACCTCAGCTAGAAATCCTCAGCCATCAGAAACAGGCGTGAGCTGGAGTGAGTTTTTTCCAAACTAAGATTTGTATAAATTAGATGGCTTGTAATTGTCTGTCAAACAACCAAAAGGTTAGAATCTGAATCCAATAATTAATAATCTGCCTTTGAACAAATAACGATTAAAACCATGTTTGCAAATGGACAAGAAATAAAACACAAAAATTCAAACTGAGTAAAAATATGGTTGTACACTGTGGCAGAGGTCATCGTTGAAGCAGAATTTAGAAATGTTCACTCGACCACTGACCAGGAAGATCTCCTTGAATCCCTTGAGAACTTCTCGCACCACTTTCCTCATCTGTGGTACGAGCTTGAAGATCCTGAGTGGACGCAGACATCGCAGCATCATGAGCAGCTGAGCACCAGACTCTGAAGGGACGTCAGTGGGGAGCCAGCACAGGAAGATCAAACTCACCTGCAGTAAACAGGTCCAAAATCATGTGCAGTTAACAAGAAATAAATATGAGAAAAAAAGTTTATTTCAAAACAAATCATAAAATAAAGTGTTTCGGAAATGAGGTGTAGATGCAGATAAAGATTTGTTTCTTATAAATTCTACTAGTAATTCTAAGCAAAGGTCCCATTCATTTTCCTTTAGTTATTTGTTTTTATAATGCTAACCTGCTAGCAAAGTGAGCTGTAACCTTCAGTTGTTTTACTCTTTCTTGTACGTTTGTATGTTTTTGTTGGAGAGAGCAAATATTAATATAAATCTTTTTTTTTTGCTTTTTTATTGTTTACTACTGTATACTGTATATGTGGGACCGCCTTTTTTTAATATTTTGTACTTTAATGGGTATCATCAGATATAATTAATTTGCTATATTGTATTTCTTCAACAGCACCAAAAACATTAAGTAAATATATGATTTTCTTTTTTTTTAATACTTATTCAACGGCTGAAATTTTTCTCAAATTTGTTTTTTGATTTTACGCAATTTAAAAAAAGTAACGTGAACTTGCTTGGTTTCGATAGATGTTTCCCATCTCACAAAAGAGAGCTGACTTCTTCAGCTCTAACAAATTGCACAAGAATTCTGATCTGAATAGAACAACATTGGCGAATGGTAATTTAAGTGTAATTATACTTTGGTATAATTACATCTTTTACGCCAGTCAAATTAAACAAGAAGCCCTGAGAAAGAAACATTCCTTACAAGATAGATAAAGATGTCCATAACTCCTCCAAAGTCTCTGATGACAGCAGTAGGGGTAAAGAACAGACCATCGGCCATGATCTTGAGGTTGAGCTCGATGCTCATGAAGATGACAAACACATACTCCCCGATCTGAAACATAATGGTGTTTACAGCAGCTGTTCACTTTCGTCATCCACAGGCCTGTTCGTGCAGCAGTTCATTAATACCTGCAATGTGGGTACGTGCATGACCCTGGTGAAGGGTGATTCAAACATCATGGAAATGCAGGAGCAGATGGTAACGACGATCATCACCCAGTCTAAGTAGGTAACTAGGCCCAGCAGATCGCTGGAAGAAGTTAAATGAGGACAGAGTAATTTTTAGCGATGTAGATGAGACAAGATAGACAGGAGTCAGTAACTGATGCCACTCACTAGAGCTGGTGATACTTAGTGTTTTTCACTGCTCCTGTTATGGGGTCAGTTTTTGATCTAGATGTGAACAGAGAGAAAGAAAAAACAAGTTATGTTTAAAGTGATACAAAATGTCAGCTTGTATCATTCTGGCCCATATGTTCTATTAGCAAAGGCATTAAACTTAATGAATGAAATAAAATGGAATTTAAAATAATCATTTACAGATGGGCAAACATCTGCTGCTACATATAATTAAAGATTTCAAATTTTTCATCGGTACGAATGTGATACAGACGCATTGAAGCGCGCTCGAACAATCATCCTGCAGAAGTTTCTGAAGCGATGCTCCCGACCCACGATGAAGAGAGGTTTATCAAAGTAAGGATGGTTCTCCCTCAGCTCCTCCTCCTGGACTTTCCTGTAGAAACAGAAACAGACACAGACACAGACACAGACACGGATGAATACAGTCAGGTTACAGACAGACTTTTTGTCAGACACATATTTCAGTGAATGAGTAAAAAAAACCTTTTCATTTCTGCTTGCTCTTTCTTTTCCTGTATCATCTTGATCTCACTGTCCTCTCGCTGGGCATTCCGGTAGCGTACAGTACTGGAATGCTGATGAAGAGAAGAGAAAATGCTGAGTCATTCTTTAACCACAATTGTAGAAATACACAGCGACGATAGGTGGCTCCTATCACCCGAGGGGCAACTCCTGAACCAGGAGCAGCACAACATTTTCTCTTGCGTATTGTGCTCTTACATCCTGGGTGAGGGTCTCCAGGGACTTCCCTCTGCTGATTCTCTGACTGGTGGAGCCATGTCTCAGCGATCTTCAGTTGAAAAAACAAGGAACGATATGAGACATTTTTACAAGCCAGATCATTTGTAATGCAACGGTTGCACTTATTTGCGTTTCTATTTTTGTGTGGATTAACCTGCGCTCCTGTCGTATGTGATGCTGGACACTGAGTATGGAGCGCTCTTTGGCGGGCTGACCCTCCAGAGATCCACTTAACATACGCTGTCTGGTGCAAGCTCTGCAAAACAAAAACACAATTATTTTTCCTATAACAATTGTAGCTACTGTTTTGGCACATAGAACATAACGTTTACTGCAGTAAATCAAGGTTCATCATTCATCAAGATTATTTCAAACATGAGAGTTTTTCTGTAAATCTGGCTATATAATCAATGCAACCCAAAAAATACAAATATAAAGAAATAAATATAAGCCTTTCCATATTTTACAAGTCATATAACAAATACAAAAAAGGAAGGACCCATACTGGTTAATAAATAGAAAGCATAAGCTATTAGAAAAGAGAGAGAATATTTACTATATATTTATATATATCAAACTTTTTTCCATTCAAGTACATAATCATAAAAACTGACAGAATCACAGGATACAAGGCTGTATATGTAATAATATTTCCTTATCCTAGCCTGTGTGGAAGAAGACAAACTATAGGGATACATTAAAACTAAGTGCAAAGTGCTGTCCGTCAGTAAGGCTGACGAGAATCAGCCAGTTTGGATCCAGAGGTTGAAGCTTAATTCATACTTATGAACAGCTTTGATAAAGTGAACAGCAACAATTATTTTTTCACATCAGTAAATGTCTGAAGTGGGTCCTGTGGGTGTGTTTTTGCAGTGTGTATGTGTGTGTATGTGTGTGTGTGTGTGTGTGTGTGTGTAAGTGTGTGAAAGAAGCATTAGCAGGGCTTGAGTGCTGTTACAGCAGAGTCACATCCAATATGCATTCACATTATTGGTTTCACCCACACAATGGCTCAGGGCTGTATTTTATGACTGTGGATGATGCATATTAAACACACCCAGACAGGGTCTCAGGGGAGGCTGCGGAAAAGAAAGTCTTTGGTTGTATAATTATTAAAAACCAATAAAGACACTAGGCTGGGAGAAAATAATGAAATGCGAGTGAAGTTCAAAGCTTCTTTTGACCTGGAAAACACATCACCTGCTACGGGAGAAAAGACTGTCCTACCTTAGGATTTTATTAATAGTTGTTTCTTTTTCCAGGAGGTTTCGGGCTCGGATGCTAAATATTGACCTGCGAAGCTGTAAGAGAGACATAGAGAGTCGATTGTGTGCTACTGCTCGGCTTAACACTACAGCCTATGTAATATCCTTTTGGCCATTGTGTGATAAGATAGTCTAAGAGCACCTTTTGGTCAATATACTTGTTGTCTTCGATGGCCGAGCGTTTGGAGTGGTCACAGGAGGAGGACGAAGCGGAGGGAAGGCGCCGGAACAAACAGCTGGTGTCCTGCTGCTGTCGATCAATGAACTGCTTCATAAAACTCTCCCTGGAGAACACAACCACCAGCAAGAGCAAGAAAATGTGATCAATTTTGATGCCTGCTTTCCAAGTGAAGTGATCAATATGCTTTAAGCTAGCACAAAGTACAAACGGTGATGTACTGTTGGAAAACTGCAGGAAAGAAGATGAAGCTGTACACCTCTGCTGTGTAGGGTGAAAAGGCCGGGGGAAAGAAGATGAAGCTGTACACCTCTGTGTAGGGTGAAAAGGCCGGCGGGCTTTTGTCCCAAATATCCCAAAACTTACAGGAATGTTTTTGCCTTTGGTCTGAAGAAGTGTATAAATAACAGTAGCCTACTGGAGTCCACGGGACCCAGGTTTGAATCTCAACTTGATTGTATTGTGTTGAGGAGGCAACAATTTTCCTGCTCCACAGGCTGATGGGTTTAATGTGTCTGTCTAAGTACAATGACAAATTTTCCTCTTCTATTATAAATATCAATAATAATAATAATAATAATAATACAATTAAAAAACAACCATGTTTTCAAAGAGAAAAGAAGAATCAATGCTCAATGAATCTAGAAACTGCCACAGGATGTAATCACAGGTCAATATATTGGCAGATTATGCAGAAAATTGATGTATATATGTATATATATGTGATAATGTATATACATTTTGATAAGACATTGCAAATATTTTTTTACCTGATTCTTGGCACAGTGAAATCTGAAGGAAGCTTGGAGATCTTCACCATCTGAGGCCTGTTGGGAAACTTTTCAAAGATCCTGAGTCGAAGAGGGAGCTTCTCTTTGGTGTCGGCGTTGGCTTCACTTTGCTTGAGCTAAAAGAAACGAAAAAAAACAAGAAACAGGAGTAAGTATAGTTGATACGGACAACAACAAAAAATAAAATAAAATCAGCCACAAGGTTAGGGTGAAGGGGAGAGAAAAAATACTAGTTGGAGCTGTAAGATGGTTTGGGATTTTGAGACCTGCATGAATGTATCACTTGTATAACGGAGGAAAAGCACCAGGATAAGCACCAGATATTTAACCTAGTTTCACTAGACAAAACTATAGGGAATAAGGAAGTCCTGGAAAAGATTTATCACTGCAGCTCTAGTTTTCTGCCTGATGATGGCAGCAACGCTCTTACCTAACGGCACACACAGCACAGAAACAGATTCAGGACAGATTTCCACTTACTTTCAGAAAGAAAAGAGAGCAACAAAAGAAAAAAAAAAATACATTGGAAATGTTAATGGACAGGTATTGAAAAGGCAGTGACAGTTAGAATAATGTACATGTGTTCAGGCCGGAGCACTCCAGGCCCAGGCAGCTGCTGCCATTATTTATATATATATA